AGCAGGGAGCCCGATGCGGGACTCGATCCCGGGACTCCAGGATCATGACCTGAGCCGAAGGCAGTCGCTTAACCAACTGAGCCACCCAGGCGCCCCAAAGCTAAGTCATTCTTAAGACCTCTCTTTTTCGTTCCCCACTCCAACCAATATTCAATCCATTGGTTAATGCTGTCACCTCGACCTCGATCTCCAAGATGACTCCTCACCACCTCTGTTTGCTTTAATCCTAGTCCAAGCTGTCATTGCCTCTAAGCCAGACAACTGCAAGAACTGCTATACTTACTGGATGCCCTGCTTACACCATTGTATCTCTTATGACTTGTGTGCTCCAGGATGATCTTTAAAAAATAAGTGAGAACATATCACAGCCCTGCTCAAGACCCCCTCCTGGCTTTCTTTCATAGCTGAAAATCCTTACCAGGCATATGTAATCTGGCCCCTGTCTCCCTTTTTCAAGCCACTCACCTGCTCTTTCATTGTTCTCTAGCCACTCTGGCCTTCTTTCCTGATTCCTCAAAGTATTTGCTATCCATCCTCTCTAAAATGCTTTTCCCCTAGTGCTTTATGTACCTAATGCTTTAAAAAAAAAGTTTTTATTTAAATTCAATTTAGTTAATGTACATTGTGTTATTAGTTTCAGGGGTAGAATTTAGTGATTCATCACTTGCATACAACACTCAGTGCTCATTACATCAAGTGCCCTCCTTAATGCCCATCACCCAGGTATTCTATCCCCCTCATCCCCCTCCCCTCCAGCAACCCTCAGTTTGTTTCCTATAGTTAAGAGTCTCTTGGGACACCTGGGTGGCTCAGTCAGTTAAGCATCTGCCTTCAGCTCAAGTCATGATCCCAGAGTCCTGGGATCAAGTCCCTCATCGGGCTCCTTGCTCAGCGGGGAGCCTGCTTCTTGCTCTTGTGCTTCCCCCTGCTTGTGCTCTCTCTCTCTGACAAATAAATAAATAAAATCTCAAATTGCTTGCCTCCAAAAAAAAAAAAAAAAAGAGAGTCTCTTATGGTTTGCCTCCCTCTCTGATTTCATCTTATTTACCTAATGCCTTTTTATTACTGAAATCTCAGCTCAAAAAGCATCTCTTCAAAGAAGGGGCCCCTCACTTTCCTCAACTCTATCCCATTATCTTGTCTTAATTTCTTCACAGCTTTTTTTGACACCTAACATTTTTTATTTTATATTTCAAAACATCAACAATTTTTAAAATCCATTTATACCAGCTCCAAATGGTATTTGAGGATAAGAAACATCCTGATGTTCCCAGAACACTTCACAACTACCTAAAAGTATCTCTTCTTTCTCTTTCTTTTTTTTTTTTTTTGAGACGTTTCATTTTTTACTCACACATTTAAAAGCAATAAGAAATATTTTAAAATATCTCAGTGCAGATACATTTTCGACTTCAAATCACCTTACTGCGTTCACATCAGCCTCCCAACTCTTCTTTCTCTTTCTTATTGTCCTCTCTCCCTCTATCAGGCTCTATGAGGGCATGTCTGCCATTGTTGGCTACTGTATCCCAGTGCTTAGAACTACGCCCAGTGCTTCTCAGGTGCTCAATAAATATTTGTTGCATAAATAGCTGATGTTCTCACTATAGCCACAAGTTCCCTTTATAGCTGTTTACTGGGCATATCATAGTGACCACATATCCACCTTCACCTCCTCTTGAAACTACCCCTATTTTGAGAATGAGCAGGGCAGAGGAGCATTCCCCAACAAAATAAGTGATGAACCCCTGATGCATCACCAGGTAAGGCACAGACTGACCAGTAACCACTTCAGTGTGGTGTAGAATAAAAATATGGGCTGGGTCAGTCAGATTTCCTCTCTGGCAACCCGACTAGGAAAAGAGAGCAACAGAGGCAGTTCCCAGTTGGACCTGAGGCTGAAAGATCATGAATAGGAGAAGGGAGAGGGCATGATGGGCCTTGTGCAAGCCAACATTGGGAAAAAGCAGAAAGAATGGGTAAGAAGCTAGGAGGCAGAGAAAAGAGAAAGATATATCAGAGAAGGGAGAGGACCAGCCCTATGCTGAGTAGCTGGGTCACAGTAGTGTTGTCACCAAGGTGGTGAGTTCTCCCCTCAGCGGGGGATTTTTAACGTAACAGGGTTCTCTCATCAGCTAGGAAACATACCTAATACTTTTGATTTAGGAGTTCAGCTGCATTCTATTCCTGGCCACATGGCCTGGAGGTTCTGTGATCTCTCCATGGCTGGGTATTCTCTCTACATCTTTATGTGGTCCCTGTGGCCCTGTTTTCTCAGTATCTACCTACCTACCTACCTACCTCTCTCTGTGTCTCACTTTTTCTGTCTGTCCTCCCAATGGTCCCATGCTCTCACCATAGCTGCATGTTCTGATAATTATGTGTTCTTACTATGGCATATATTCTCAGTGTAAGTCTATATTTTCGCTGCAGGTATGTGTTTCATCATGGATGAATGTTCTCATGACAACATGCATTCCTGTTGTAGGGATATACTCTCCTCATGACTGTGTCTTTTTATTATAGCTTGGTAGTTATATCTGATCAGATTTGTCCAGGGGTTAGGAGCAAAAAAGGATTTTCACTGTTCTATGTTCTCACCACTATTTTACATTTGTATCTGATCATACATATGTCTTAGGCTGAGTATTGTTTACTCCTTCTCTTGGAGCTATTCTCAAGGGTGGATCAAGACTCATCACTATCTGCCTGACTAACACCAGAACATCCCTAGGTATGGCTTTTACCAATTAATGCCACAGGTCTGGAGAGGGGTATCTCTCTGGTCACTGAGAGTGAAAATGTCCTCAGGCCAGCAAATCTATCTCCTAAAGGTCTAAGGGACCCAAAATTTCTTGGCTGGTTCTCAGCAATAGGAACATCTCATCCCCAGGTAATGCTGTGCCCAGAAGCCTGAGCTAAGAACGAAGAGGCACTTGGAAAAAGATGGAGCTCCTAAGGGGAGCTAGAGGACCTGGCAAGACATGCAAGAGCAAAGGGAATATGAGGAGTCCTAGGGACATAAAGAGGGCACAGACCCAAGAGTAGACAGTACTGTGAGGTAAACAGGTAGATGAAATTAGAGGCCTGGGAAATGAGAGACAAAGTTGAACAATATGCATCAGAGGAGATGAGGGATAAAAAACTGCATGCCGAGGATGCTAAGGATGGGATTCAAGGGGACAAAATGAGGCATGCAGTGATGAAAATGGAGGAAGTCTATCAGCGATGGGGGACACATGGAAGAGACAGGAGGGATGGAGGGCAGAAGTGGGGGCGTCAGGAGGCATCTCTCACCACTGAAGGCATATGTGGCACCATGGCTGTCAGTCAGCAGTGCAGACAAGGCTAGATATGGGCTACAGCGCATATCCCCACGGCCATGATGGGTGTCATTCCCATGGCCCGTCCCATTCCTGTGTCCATGGCCTGGGGAGAGAAATAGGTGAGGGGGAACACAGAGGGAGGCCAGAGGTCAGAATGAAGTCCGAGGTGGGAGAGACGGCTAGGGTTAGTGGGGCTGTAGACTTCTTCCATAGCAGGACAACTGGGACGGTCCAGAATGGAGACTGGGCTAGGGCAAGGGCCAAGTGCTATACCACAGAATTAAGGTAGGAGCTAGGGTATGTGGGGTCTGCAAACTCAGGGAAGGTAGATGAATTCCAGCAGATTTCAGGGGCCGGGGCTTTCTCACCTCTGCCAGGGCAGGGTATGAAGTAGTCTCGAACATCCAGAGGGTACTTGGGAAGCACCTCTCCCGTGATGGGGTGGAAGCGCAGGAACTGGTTACCCCGGAAGCAGTAGTAGTGGCTGAGCCACTGCAGGGCAGAGGAGCATTCCCCAACAGCTGGCCAAGAGCGCTCCTTTTTGGTTCCCGTAGCCAAGTCCCAGAACCACGTTTGGTTACCTTTGTCCAGTCAATCAACAAACATTCAGTGAGGCCAGGCTATGCCCTCCCTTATGCTAGCATTGGGCCCCATAATGGGCCAGATATGGTCCTGGCCCCATGGAACTCACAGCCCAGCAGGGAAACAGTTGAAGAGAGTGATCATATAATAAAATTCAGCAGGAAAATGCATATGATTGGCTCAGCAAGTGCAGTGAGGAGAGACAGGGAAAGGTTTCCAGAGGTGACAGTTAAACTAATACCTGAAGCAGGAATCACAAGGCAGAGAAGAGGAGGAGATGGAACTCTGAAGGAGGAGAGGAAAGTCTGAAGCTTGAAGCAAATGAGGTGTACAGGGAACAGCATCGAGTCTCTGGAACTTCATACTCAAGGTAAAGGCATGATGAGTGTCAAGGCTGGAGGGTCAGTAGGAACTTGGTCATGGAGAACCTTGTACATAAGACTAAGGAACATAGACTTATCCTAAGGACCATGGGGAACAGTGAAGAACTTTTAGCAGAATTACACCCAGCTACCTCACCCAGGGTGACTTCCTCTCCTTTCCCTGTTTGACCTCTGGACCATAACCAGCTTCCCTATTTCTTCCCTTCCTTGGGAAGCCACATGGTGCTCCAACACCACCACCATCCCTGCCACGACCTCAATCACCACCAACCCAGCATCACTCCAGGCTCTCTTATTCCAGCCTGCGCTGACCTTTGAAGAAGAGGACACCCTCTGCTTTGCATTCCCCACGGTGACATTCCACAGCTGCATCCACCGGTGATGGGATTCCAGGAAACTCTTCTTGGAGCAACTTCAGATAGCCTTTCTCCTTCTCAGGAGGATACACCCAGATTTTGTCTCCCTGCATACAAGTTACTCTATTTTTAACTGTGGACCCCACATACTGCCACCTGCATTCACACATAACATCTTTGATCTATTGCGTTTATACAGTATCCTCCCCCCCCCCCCACCCCGCGGCCCTACACGCTTTCAATCCACCTGTGGACGACAATGTGCTGCCCCTTGTACAAACACACACTCTTAGTTTGTGCAAAACCTGCCACTGTTGCTATAGCACATGCACACATCTGACCACTCCCGTGACACACTTATCTGTAATACCGTTAGTCTTGGCAAACACATCCACAAATAGTCATCCTGCAATCATCCATCCATTCATATATTCATTTGTTCGTCTATTTATTCATCCATTCACTCAAGAAACAGTTGCTGAGTGACTACTATATGCCAGATATTTGAAAGGCACTGGAGATAAAGGGATGACAAGACTGTCTCTGCCTTCAAGGAGTTCACTATAGAAAAGCAGAAAGGTTCCTACAATCCTAGCCATGCAACCACCAAAGTGGAAACATGTGAAGTGCATTGGGAATATAAGGGGAGTGCTTAAGCCTACACAGAGAATTCCTGGAAGGCTTCACAGAGGAGGAAGCACTGGGGCCAAGAGTTGAAAACTGAGTAGGAATTCAGTGGGACAATTGTGGAAAGGGTGTTACCAGCAGAGGGAGCAGCAGGTGCAGAGCATGCTCAGAGAATTACAGGTAGTCTCCTGTAGGTGGCACACAGTGAATGTGCTGGGGGAGGAGATAAGACTGGAAAGACAACCAAAGGCCAGATCTCAAGACCCACGCATACCTGACTTGCAGGAATTAGCACAGGGTGGTGCCACTTAATGAAATAGGGGACACAGCATAAAGGGTGGGTTTGTAAGAAAGATACTAAACTCAGTTTGGGGGATACTGAATTTGAGGTACCCACAGAACATCTAAGCCAAAGATATCTGCCAGGAAATTGGAAAGCGATAGCTGGAGCTCTGGGAGAGATCCAGATCTGGTGCCCACGGCATAGGAAGTCCTCAGAGCCGTGGCAGCGGTTGAGATCATGCAGAGAGGGTGTTTTGAAGGTGTGGGACAGATCTCCAAGGAACATTCAGGGACTGGCTGAGGACGGGAAGCTGGAAAACAGCAGGAAAGAGGCAGGAGGGGACAGAAAGCTGGCAGTGAGGGCTGCCCTAAGCACACAGAGCCTTGTACAAATTAGGAGAAGGTGCGCTTCCTCTACGCAGACACAGCCTGGGCCAGGACATGGGACTTGGTGAGCACAGCAGGCTGGACTTCATCTTCCCCTCACCCCTCGGCCAGGTGCCATTGTTATGAACAGCCTGGTCACCATATGAAGAGTCCGTGAGGCAGAGTCATGGAGACCAAGGGAAAAAATTACCAGGAAGGAAAGGATGGCCAACAGCATGAGGAGTAGCAGAGAGGTCTGGACAAAGATTGGGCCCGAAGGATAGCCACCGGGTGCTGTGCTTGCCAGGCCCACATGCACATACACTCCCTCAGCTTGAGCTTTTTCAGGAAAGGAAGGCACAGGGGGAGGAAGCCTGGAACCTACTACTGTAAGGAGTCCATGTTAGGGTCACCTGAGGGAGGGTCTCTCGTGTCCATTCCAGCACTTCCTGGCCCAGCCCTGACCTCGGCCCAGCAGTACCTTGATCAGGAAGACACTGTTGTGACCACGGCGGAATGCGGCATCCACGGGGCTGGTGAAATTCTTCCACCTCTCTGAGATTAACTCCCGGACCCATGTGTGACTCTTCCACACAAACTCCCCTGAAAAACGCACACTCACTGAAGGACGCAGAACAAACTTTTGGCCGCTGAGATAGTTACAGAGAAGCTGTGGGTGATGCCCTCAGATAATTCCTAAGATCTCCCACAGACAGATACACCCTCGGGGAATAGGACCAGGTCTGCCGTCCCAAACGCCCCAACCCCAGCCCCTCCTACCTTTAAAAAACAGCATGGCCCCATGTTCATCCAGGGTGATAGCATCAAAGCTCCAGCCATCCAAGCAGAGTTCTGGGGTGGGGGTGGGGAGATGCAAGTAAAAGACCAGTCAGGTAATATAACGCAGAGACATAGCCGGACAGACAGACTCAGGGAGTCAGGGCCTCACCGGTCACGTCTGGTTTCACTCTGGTCTCGCTCCCACCTTTGGTCCTGTTCCCAGGGGTACCGTCCCTAGAGAGAAGACAGATGGTTGTCTGGATCCACTGGGCCCAATCCCTCTCCCTTAGCTCCTGTCTTCAAACTTGCCCCGGCCTAAAAACTGGCCCTATGCTACTCTAGCCCAGTCCCCAGTCCTTCCCCAGCTCCAGCTTCACTCACGGAGGAAGAGGGTGGGCAACAGCCAGAGACCACCACAGGCCCAACAACCCTAGTGCAATGGGTGTGCCCCATGCCCGAGCCATGCTGAGATGCCACAGGACAGCTTGGGCACCTGGCTCAGTTCCCTATATAGAGATGGTGGCAGCACCACCCCCACCACGAGCCTGCTGATCGTCCAAGTCCTGTCTCTCAGAACTATGCCAATATTGGATGATTACGTCAGTGCAAATAAGGTCAGGGTCTGGACAGAAATCTGAGTCCAGGACTAACTCTTCCCGGCAAGAGGCCCCATCCCCCTTCAATGACTTTTGAGCGGTAACTAGCCCATGCCACTGAAGCCCACCTGTGACTCTCATCGCCTTGATGACGGGTCAAGGAAGGATGTAGATTAATTGAGGATCACCTTTCTGTGGTTGGATTTACCTCTACAATGTGGGAGGAGAGAAGCAGAGGAAACTACCATTTTTGTGTACTAAGTGTCGAGCCATGCTCTAAGACAGCTAAAGTCACTGATACTTACATCTATTTAGCAAACACACTTAGAAATACTCAGAGAACAGCTTTTTCCAAGCTTCATCAAGGGTCTTTCTGGGGCATTCCCAAACCCCTTCAGCTTCGCCCTTGATGGGTCAATTATATTTCACTGTCGCCAAATGTCCAAGTCCCACCCCCAGCCCCAGCCCTGCTAGCAAAGTACTTAGAAAAATCACCTGGGAGGGAAGGGCTGAATGGGGCAGAAAGAGGTGTCTCTCTCTTGCATATTGCATTTCTAGTAATTACTCTTTCTTGGTAATTTCCACCTTAAGGGAAAAGTGCTTTATTTACCCATCACAGAATAAACAGAACTGTAACTGGGGTTTCACAATATTTACTGCTGAGTCTTGCCTAAATGCTTTCTCAATGAAGCCTTTCTTGACCACCTTATCTAGCCATTTCCAACACTTGCATAATTCCTTCATGTCACTTATTAAAGTGTGAAATTATTTCATCTACTTATTTGTTGGTTTTTTTTTTTCTCTGTTTTGCCCATCTTGTTTACCATTACATTCTCTCCACCTAAAATAGTACCTGGTGCATAATAGGTGCTCAGTAACTGTTGAATGAAAAAAAAATGGATTTCACCTACTGACTAGTGTTGCTAATGTTGCAGCCGAATTCCTAACAACTCTTTCCTTCTGGGGTGAGGGGAATATCAGGAATTGAGGGTGTGTTAATGATGGGAGGCATATTGTGATCCAGAGGTCACAGGTCCCCTTGTCACTGCCCTTCATCTGATGGTCTTCTTTCTCTCTCCAGTGTCCCACTCCCACATCCCTCTCTTCCTCCAGCCCTGGGATCCGACTTGTTATCTCTAGCATCTGCTATCTTCAGTACTCGTTGGGGCCACTCCCAGATGGGGCCTGCCCCATCTCCATCTAAGACTTGGCTGCTGAATCAAAAGACAAATATGGGCGGTCAGCTATGGGCCAGGCTGAGGTTCCAGGACCCCTGTTCCCTAGTCCAGCCTGAAAGGGCCCTGATCCATCTCAGATGGCTCCATGCCCCTGACATTCCCCTATATAACCTTAGCAAAGATCTCAGATTCCTTTTCTACTCTGCAATGTTTCCTCCCAACAGGAAAACAAAGATTTGTGGGGCCTCTGGAACATGTCACTGGGCCTCTGCCATCAGGCTCAATGTTCTCGCTTGACTTATAAATGAAAATGTGCCTTTTAACACCATTCCTCCCCGCTAGTTAGTGGGCAAAGCTGGACCCCACAAGCCTTTGGCAGCATGGGCAAATGCCAGGGCTCCTATGGCAGATACCTGGCACCCACCTTCTCCCTACTGCAGGGCATCCCTGGTTGGACCTGCTCCACCCCAGTTTCTGGGGTTCTTCCTACTGAGCATCCAGTAGCCCTTCATCAGCAACCCCCTCAACCACTGTCTCTAGCTCCAGACCTGTGCCTACATGTCCTACAGATTTCACTGAGCCTGCCAGGGAAGAGGGAGGTTTTCACACTGAGTCACAAACACCCCTCAGAAAATCCACAGTGAGGGGGTCTCAATAGTTATATTATCAGGATGCTGCATAGCCCTGCTGGTCCAAGGGAGCAGCTAGCAGCCTCCTTTGCCCTAGCAGGACTCTGAGAACATATACCGGATGGGATTTTTCAGCTTAGTGTCTTTCTCCCCCAGCCAGCACTGGTTCCCTTCACAGCACCCCTGGGTCTATCTATCCAGAAGAGTGATTTGTGGCACTTTTTCACTACTGTTTCCTAATTCTCTTTTCTACCCTAAGGGGGCTTAGGTAGCATTATAGGAGCCTTCGCCTGCCCTCCCTGCTCCCCAGCCTCCCCATCATGCCCTCCCCGTGCGCCTGCCCTTCTCCCCTGCCCCACCTTCACAGGGACTAGACAAGCAGAGTCGTCTGCACAGGCAGGCAGTTCTGTTGAAGCTCAAGTTCTCAGCAGGAGCTAAGAGGCGGAGTTTGGGAACCGAGGCTGTGGCTATGTTGGCCATTCTGGTGTCAGTCACAGGGCACAAGGCAACTCTTCTCAGAGGACCCACACAGAGCTGGCCCTGCTTCTCTGCTCACTCGAGGCAGCCATTTCTGCTTCTCCAGAGTCCCTCCCAGCCCTCTGGCCTGGGCTGAGAAAGTGCTTGTCCATACTTGGTCCTGAGCGCCCCCTGGAGGCCACAGGGTTCAGTGCACACGCACCCTTCAACCAGAGGCCAGAGGCTTGGAAACCGGCTCTCCATAGCCTTCTTGCCTCACTCCTCTCAGCCTGGCTATGGGGCCTTAGAAGTACCCCTTCCTCTGCAAACCTCTGCTGCCCAGAGCAGGTTTGGGGGGACCTCAGTCTCTTGCTTGATTTCCTGGGGAATTCAAGCCCAGAAAAAGCCAACCATCCCTTTTCCTTGTGGTCTTCCCAATCCTATCCAGCAACTTTCGGCTTCCCCTGAAGGGCGTCTGAATGTGGGCCTGCAAATGTCTTCATGGGCAGAGCTTCCCCTTACATTGCACGGGCTACATTTAAACTGGACACTGACCCACTGTCTCTTGGAATGACTGTGTCCAGCCTGCCCCACCCCTGGTCTGAGTTCTCTGATCTCAGTCATTTCTCCTGGGGCCCACTGAGGGCTGCGTGTGCTGGGCCTGCAGTCTGTGGCTGTGTACTCCCAGGAGCAGCGCCTGGATTCCTTTTCTGTGATTTAGAGGGCTTGGGATAAAGCTCCAGGCACCAAAAAGAGCTAGCTGCTCCCTCTGACTCCTCCAACCATGCATGTCTGCTCTTGTTCTGCCTCTAACGGGCCTCCCTGCATAGTCCATTCTTGCTTCTCTATGAATAAATATACTCATAATTTGCCTATATCTCTTGGGCACGTGTATGTGCCTGGCACTGTGCTTCATACGGATTGTTTCATTAAATCATAAATATGAGATATATATATATAATCTCATATATATATGATACTATCTGTCCCATTTTACAAATGAGGGTACTGATATTAGGTATCATAGCCAAATCCCATTGTTCTCAAGTGGTAGAGCTACGATGAAGTGCTGGCTGCCGGACTTTTCGGGCTGTGCTCGTTACTCTATCAAAGGAGGTGCTGATATATGTGTTAACAGCCAGCTCTCCAGAAGGGAGAAAGCCCTGATTTGTAGCATGCGCTAATTTCTGTGGGTAAATCTCCTATTATGGCCATCGTCAAGCTACAAATAAGACATCACCAAAGTAGAATTAAGAAGAAATGCACAGTAATGTACTACTTACTATATGGTGTTTCCACCAGGCAGATACAATAGATGTAAATAACCTGAAGAACACAGGTAATAGTAAAATGCAGTAAAATAATTAGGAAGTGATGAGTTTCGAGTATGATATTGGACTTCAAATTTACATAACTTAATTTTTAATAATGGCTGGGTTTCAACAACCAGCTGTCAAAATTCCTGAAAATTTAACCCTGAGTCCTGTGAGCCGGTATGAACCAGCTCCAGCACCCCACTGCCCACCAGACTGCCTTAGTAGACAGGACAAGGATGTCATCTGCCCTATTCCCCACTATTTCTTCAGTTCTTAGAGCAGGGCCTGAAATGCTGTATGTGTTAGTATTGAATTCTATTGTTCCTACCTTCTGGTCAGACCTAAAATTTATCCACTTCTCTCTGCCTCCCTCAAAATGCAAACACCATCTCTTGTTTGACCACTGAAATAGCCCCTCTTGTCTGACTGCTGAAATAGCCCCTCCCTCCCTGCTTCTCCTGCCCCTCTAGGGTACATTCTTCATGGCAAGCACAATCTTCAAAAACATGCCTAAAAACACCTTAATGCTCCTGCTTAAAAGTTTTTTTCTTCCTTGAAGACAAAAATCAACTTTAATTCTACTAATCAGAGAACACCACTATGAACATTTTATCTATTCCAGCCTTTCTCTATTCTTCCAACATCCCTTCTGAAACAAAGATGTAATTTTATAAAACCTTTTTCTTCCTTAGTGTACCTCAGACATTGGCATTTTTAAAAGGATGCATATAATTCCACCATATATTTAAGCAAAACTTTATATAGCTATTCCCTGCTGAGGGACACTTCAGTTTTTCTAGGATTATTTTTTTCCTATTATAAATAAAGCTGTGATAAACATTGGTGCTCACACCTCTTTGTGCCTTTGCCCAATTTTTTCTTAGAAAACTTCTTTTTCTTAGAAAACTGGAAGACTCTAGATGATTTTAAGGTGTCTATGGTCTTCAAGGGGAGCAGTTTAGAGAGGTTGAATTTTGTTCTGTTTTTTATTCTCACTTTTCTTTCCACCCCACGGAATCGCTGTCCAGCTGCCTGTTCATTCCATAAGGCATCCTCTCATCTCTGGCACTTAAACCTTTCTGTGGTTTACTAGGATACTCCAGATCAAATCCAAACTCTATCTGACTTAAATAATCCAACACAGGCCTGACTCTCAAAACTTGTTCCTTTCCTCTCTTCCTCCACCTTCCTTCCTCCCCGTCACCCAGGCCTCCTTTCAGGTCCTCCAATACACCGAAATCTTGACCCCTCAGGACGTTTGTACCTGTTCTTCCTTTGTCTGGAAATCTCTACCTTCTCTTCTTAACACAGGTGGTTCCCTACCCACCCCCCACCCCAGCCTGCAGGTCACTGCGGCCTTCCTTGCCCACCCGATTTAACATCGTATTCTTCTAGGTATTGCATTCTATTCATTTCCATCACAGCTTTAACAGACTGCCGTTACACATTTACGCCCTTGTGTTTACTTGTTTGCCTGCCTTCCCCAATAAACTTTGCCTCTGTAAGGGCAAAGAACATTTCTGTCTGTATTCCCAGGGCCCACCACTCTGACCAATAGTAAGTGCACAGAAGTACTTGTTGAATGAATAAATGAACCCACTGGCCATATATGGCCAGAGGGCTGTTCTGATTACCTGACTGCCCTATATAAGACAGGTGTGATCCCTCGTGGGACCACAAAATAACTTTCTGACCTGGCCCAGTGGGGGCTCTGCAGCAATGCCCAAGTCTGTAAAGATGATTTAAGACTTATGCCAACTAAGTCAAGGCTTCGCCGCTACTGCCAGGCACTACTTCCAGCTACTTCTGGGCCCAAGGCCTAAACTGGGGGGGAAATGCCCACCGTGATGAGGCCAAGAGGAAGTGAGTAACCCCACCTTGAGATATTGTCTGCATGGCTTAGGCAGACAACCTAAATTGGTATCTATGGAAATCAGCCCCAGCAGCCTGTTCTCCGTCTGGTAGGAAAGCCATCTGGGGCTTCCCACCCAAGGAAGTTCATTTTTATTGCCATTTTATCCCCCTGCTTTTAGATGTTGAGAATGTGAGTGTGTGACAAGTTTGGGAACTTTGAGCTTGCATCCTCAGTACCGTTGGTGCTTTGTCACAGAGGGCGTACGTACACCCGAAACCAGTGTGACATTCTGTGTCAGCCATACTTCAGAAGGGAGTGCGGGGGAGGGATAGACTATCCACCTGTGAACTCCCAGGGACGACCCCACTGGTGCTGAGTGACCTATAATTGAGCACACCCATCTCTGCTGGCCAGGCAATCCTACTCATAACTGGAGCCAGAAGTGCAGGCCCTATAAGACCACCTGCCCCAGAACTTCAGGGAGTTCATCTGTCCCTATACCTGCCTACCAGGTCCCAACCAGTGAGACAAAGAGGATCAGAGAGGTGAAGATAACCAGGACTTCCATGTGGTTCACACGGTGCCCCCTTGATCTCGGCAAAGTCCCCATGGTCTTCCACAGGTCCGTGGACAGGCCCGCCCATCCTAGCTCCAGGAATCAAGCCACATAAGGACAATGTCTTGAGCTTTCCCAGGACCTCTCATAACTAACCTATCAAGATCCATCGTTCCCCAAATCTTGTTGAGTGCCTTCTCTGCCAGTTATCATGCCAGATGCAAGGGGCATAATGAGTAAGGTGCTACTTTCAGGTTAGGAGTATGACAGCTGTAGATTTAAGTCCAGGCTCTGCTCTTCATCAGTCATATGCCCTACTCCTCTGAGCCTCAGCCTTTTGTAGAGGGAGAAGTCATAGTCCCTCATAGTCCCTGCCTCCCAAATCATTGAGTGCTGGTTGTAATTATCTCTGGAACTGGCAGCCAAACCCTGGCCCACAAGAACTCAGGACGCTAGGACCCCCATTCCACCAAAGAGAATGGGCAACAACCGTAGAATGGAGAACAAGCAGGGCTCCAGGCCTTCAGCATGAGCTCTAAGACTGGCTCTGGAGTCTCTCACATGCTGCTTCCACGCGGGCTTAGCCCCAAGGTCCAGGTGGGCCCGAGCTTCCAGGATTACTAGCATAGCCTCAAACTGTTCTCCCTGCAGCTGCTGGCTGTGTTCTGGTCAAGGGTCATTTTTTCCCAGGCTCCTTCTCAGCTGTAGGGCGGACAGCCAAAGGACTTACTATTTCTGCAGGAGATGTGGGCCTAGGGACAGGGATTTGGCAGGTGGCTAAGAGCCCCACAGCTTCACCCTCTCTTGCGCTCCACTCCCGAAACTTTAAAACATCAGGACTCTTTGGGAATCTGGATCCTCTGCCTACCTGCTTGTCCATCCTTTAGTTCAGAACGAGTCCCAACCTCCTGTACCCTCACAGCCCCACCCCACAAGAAAGCAACAAAACCATCTTGGTGAACACATTTACTTAATATGGGGGGTGGGGTATTGCTGTCTCTGTCAGTGTGTACAGGGTGGTAGGGAGACAACCAGAGGGACTTCTGCCCTGGAGCAAGAGGCTGTTCTGGCCCCAGGCTGGGGGCTGTGGAGCAGACTGAGGGGACAGGGCAGGTGTGTAAGGGGTGGAGGGTAGGGTGAAGCTCTGCACACATCCTTGGGACCACAGTCCAGGCCCACCCAGTCACCAAAGCAAGAACCGAATAAATAAAGTGCAACCGTGGGGTGGGGAGAGGGGGAGAGGGAGGGCACCGGGCGCACCCGCGCCCACAGCCCACATTCAGTGCTGCCAGGTCCGGCCCACCTCCTGGCCAGACCCTCTTGTCCAATCCCCCCATGACTGTCCCTCCACGAGCCAGGCAGGGCCCCTGTGCAGCTACTGGAGGTAGCGATAAGCTTTAAAGCAGTGGTTGCCAGCATCGGCCACCACCACGTGTCCATCTGAGGTCAGTGCCAGGCCCTGCGGGCCATACAGTGGCTCTGCAGACGTGTTGATGTAGGACAGGAAGGAGCCAGAGCTGTCGAATACCTGGGGAATGAGTGGACAATGGAGGGAGAGGTGAGAGCAGGCGGGTGGGAGGCATCTGCAGGGGGATGGGGAGGGGTGCATGGAGCACAGCAGGAAGCCTCACCCCCATGCCATCCCCAGGCCTCACCTGGATGCGGCTGTTGCCCCAGTCAGCCACGATGATGTTCCCGTTGGAGTCCACTGCTACTCCCGTGGGGGCGTTGAACTGCCCATTGCCCTCGCCGTGGGAGCCAAACTTGAAGAGGAACTCGCCGTCGGCACTGTACACCTGGCAGGGGCAAGGGCTGGGGGCTGGGGACCTGGCCTCAGGCAGAGGGCAGGGCCTTAGAGGAGGTGGGGTGAAGCCCCAGGGCTGAGGACCCCCAGGTCTGCAGCTCCAGCCCAGTTCTTCCCACACCTCACAGCCATGCTTCCCACTGCCTACTGACTATCTCCAGCTAGTGTCCCTCGGCATATCAAATCCAACAGCTCAACTTCCCCATGCTCTCTTTCTCAGGGAATGGCAATACCCATTTGGCCAGGAGTCATTCTCAACTCCGCCTTCTCCTCTGCTTGACAACCAGGGAATTCACACAACGGGCTGATTCTACCTCAGATCTGCACCCTAGTGTATGTATTGCTACTAGGGTGGTCCTCAACATTTCTCATCTAGATTACTACAAAAGACTGATCTTCCTGACACTTGTCTCGCCCCAGCCAGAGTGATCTTTCTAAGACCCAGGACTGCATTGCCCTGTGGCCTGCAAGCCTTCAGTGACTCCCCACAGCTCTTGGGAACAGAGCACACGAGACTCGTCGGCACTTGAACCACTCCCCTCTTCAAACTCAGTCTGAACTACTTGTGGTGTTTTGAGCACACTGAAGCGTTCCTGCCTCCAGTTCTTGGCTCCTCCTGTCCCCTTTGCCTCAAATCCTCTCCTCCTTCTCTCCCTCCTGGTGAATTCCCTGCTGCTTCAGGTGGTTCTCTGTCTCACCTGAATCAAATGCTTCTGCTATGCCCTCACACAGTTCCTTGCACTTCCCTACCACATAACTGTAACATAATAATACACTGTAATATGCGGCTTTACCTCTTCCCTACTAGACCATTACCAAGAAGACAGAGCGTATTTGCCTTGTTCATCACTGTATCCCCAGCTTCTAGCATAGTGCCCGGGACAAAGTAGCCATGCCATAAATGCTTATTGTTCAAAGAAATGATCTCAAGGTGGTGGGGGCGGTGGGGAGGTGAGGGAGAGAGGGGTCTTGTGAAAGAGGAAAGGATGTTGGGACAGCGGTCATAGAGGGAGGGAGGGAGGACACTGACCTTCACTGAATGGTTATGGAAATCCGTCACTACAATCTCATTCTTGTTGTTCACAGCCACAAAATGGGGCCCTGAAAATACAAAGTGGTTTATAGGGCAGTGAGCTGGGATACTGAGTGGGATGAATTAAGGGTATCTGGGATGACAAAGCTGGGCTGCTGGAAAAGGGCGGTGCCTCAGAGGCTGACAGGTGCCTTGGGATGATGGTACTAGGGTACAGTCAAGGGAGGGGGGTCCTCTAAGGCCAAGGTATAGGAGGAGGGGTGGTTAAATCTGGGGTAACCAGGGTAGTTCTCTGGGGCTGGGGTATCAGAATTGTTCCACAATACCTGCAAAGTGGCGATCAGTGGCCCCACGGCCCCCAAAACGGCCAACCAGCTTGCCATTGGGCTGGAAGGTAAAGACGCAGCAAGACTTGTTGTCGACCACAATGATATGTCCATTCCGGTCTACGGCCACTCCTTTGGGGCCCATGAGACGGCCAGCTCCAATCTTGGTCTGGAGGAAGGGGATACCATTAGGGGCTTTATCCTGCCTTGTGGGGAGAGTAGTCCCAGCCCGACACTAAAGGAAAACCTTGGGCTGGGGATGGACCATTCCAGGCCCTGACTACCAGGAGGCACTAGAATGGTCACCTCAGCCGGCCATCAGAAGTACAGAACACCGTGACAGTAGGCCTCTTACCTTGAATTTGCCCTCAGGGGAGAAGATGCTGACCCAACGGTTGTCATAGTCCGCCACAATAATGTCTCCATTGGTGTCCACGGCCACACCTGTGGGGCGCTGCAGCTGCCCAGGTGAGCGCCCTCGGACCCCAAAGCGGAATTTGAACTGGCCTTCATTGGAGAAAACCTGGAGCAGAGGAGCAAGGGAAGGAGCGGGGAGGAGGGGAGAGACTGTGGGCACAGAGGGAAGGGAGCGAGATCCTGAGGGAGGAGACCCCCCATTCATTCAGCCATTCAACCAGCACTTACTCACACCATGCTGGGGGGTACACAGAAGAATCAGACACAGCTGCAGACCTGAGGTGACACGCAGCACAGGTATGAATGAGAGAGACTGTAGGAATATGGGGGGGGGATGGTCAGGAAAGGCTTTGAGAGAGAGCTAGCTGAGTTAACAGCCTAATAAGGATGCCAAGAGACAAACCACGTTGGCCAGTAAAGGACGAGGAAAGGCATTTAAGCAGAGTGAACAGTATGTAAAAGGCACAGGGTCCAGTATGGGCACTGCTCGCCCAGGGGAGCTGGATTGCAGGGAGCACTCCCATGAACAGCAGAAAGAGTAGGGTTTTATCCTGGGTGTAATGAGGATTCACTGAAAATTTCTGGGCAGGGGAGTGACAAGATGAGATTTGCTTTTGTGGTATAACAAGAAATATACTTGGTCTTTGTCCCCAGTGCCTGGTGCAGAGCTCCTCAAACCCTTGGAATTTCCTGATTAATAGGAGTGTCTTTGTCATTCACAAGGAGCCCCTTTTGAGCTTATGCTGATGAGGTGACTTACGATGGGGCTGGAACCCAGAAAGACCAAATCATTAAAGGGCTGAAACTTTCAGCCCTACCCACCAACCTCTGGGCAGAAGAGGGGAAGGTACAGATTTGATGTGCTCCCAAGCTGGTGCTGGGAGGGTGGTGTGCCCCAGTTCTACAGGGACCAAAGTTCCCACACTAGAAACTCTTCTAGACCTTGCCCTATGTACTTCTCCATCTGGCTGTTCATCTGTATCCTTTACAGTAAACTGGTAGACCTAATTAAATGTTCCTCTGAATTCTATGAGCGACTGTAGCAAATTCATCGAACCTGAAGAGGGGGTTGTATGACCCTCCAATTTATAGCTGGTCAGTCAGAAGCATAAGTAACAACCTGGACGTGTGACTGGCATCTGACATGGGGACACTCTTACGGGAAGTGATGCTATCTCTAGGTAAATAGTGTCAAAATTCAGTTACATTTGCAGGACACCTGGTCAGGGTCCACTGAGAGTTGCTTGCTGGTGTTGGAAAAAACACATGGGAGCTTTGAAGAAAGAGTACTCTGGCTGCAGGCAGGAGTCCAAAGTGGGCGCTTGCTGGGCAGTCAGAGGTGCTACACTAGTCCAGGGGAGGAGGAATGATGGCTTGTTCCAGGGTACTTGCTGGAGCAAAGATGGACTCAGGACACATGGGAGGAAGACAGTAAGACTTGGTAGTGACAAGAAAGGGTGGGGTGTTGAACAAGGATGAGGATGTCCAGGCTAAGAGGCTGGCAAAGTAACCTTCCTCCTGGACAGGTTTTTCCCCTCTCCTACCTCCTCCCTTAGCCACCCAACATGCTCAGGTCTCCCCATCCTAAAAACACCTCCTTTAATGCTCTTTCCCTTTACAGCCAAGCCAGGACCAGCCTCGGGGAACTCAAGTTCTGGGTCTTGGCCTTGCTCTTCCATCCAGACATGCTCCTTCCTTAGTGGACTAGGCCCCCTGCCCCTGCCCCTGCCCCATCCCCATCTCTTGGGCCTGCAGGGCTGTTTGAACTGGTCCCACCAGCAGACATCAATCCCTCCTGATGTGGACTTCCAGCATGCCCTCAGCTGGCTGGCCAACCCAGTGGCTGGGGTCTGCCCTGGTCCCCTGTGGCAGGCCAGCACAAGCCAGCATGAGAGGGAGGCACCCTGAGCGGAAGAGCTGATGTCAGAGTGACTAAAAGTTCCTGCCAGATCAGCAGTGAGCCTGTGTGGCTGCCCCCCACCCACCCCCC